CTCTATTACTCTCCCCCAAAATGTAAGGCTCGCCTAGTTTAGTTTAATGATCACGTAAAGAAATCATAAACTTGAACACGACTCGGCTCAAGGCCAGGTAGAAAAGCTCCTCTGTTTGTTGCTTCTTTTAGGCGGTTTTGGCGCTAAAGAACTCCTCACGGAAACGAAATGATGAATGATCCGACAAAAGATACGTTGTCCTAGCCAAGCACAGTGCACGCGCAGCCCCGCATCAGTTAAGCCACCACGGAGCTCACAATAAGTTCCCATTGTGTCGGCGTGCAAATAGTTTATTTTTAGAGCAAAATGTGTCTTCGCCCCAGACTAGATTTCTTTTTCATCCTCTCTATGCTCGCTTTATGTAGTCTTTGTGTCTTTTTTCCTATTGAACATTATGTTTACCAGTGTGATGCTATACTCTCTCTCTCTCTCTCTCTCTCTCTCTCTCTCTCTCTCTCTCTCTCTCTCCATCATCTATATATCTGTCTATGTGTCTATCTGTCTAGGTGTCTATCTGTCTATCTATCTATCTATCTATCTATCCATCGATCTATCTATCTATCTGTCTGTCTGTCTATCTATATCTCCCTCTCTCTCTCTCTCTCTCTCTCTCTCTGTCTCTCTCTCTCTCTTTATCTCTCTCTCTGTCTCCGTCTCTCATGTGCCTGTCTCTCTAATAGCTCTTTGCTTTCTGTCTCTGATCCTCTCTATCTGTTCTTAAACACACATTCGCACATACACACTCACGCACATACATACAACCCCTTACCCAACACACACATACACAAAGACAATCTCTATTGTCTTCCTGTTCCCAAGCACAGCTTTTAAACTACATGGTCCCACATTTTTCTCTTTACTCACATTCACCAAGTTACAGAATTCTGTTCCGTTTATTTATGAAAAAAATAATAAGCCTAAATTGAAATGTTCTGTTTTATATTCATTACTGAAAAGGTTAAGATATGTTAAAACAGTCTCACTAGCTGTCGGCTTCAATCCCTCTGTGAAATTTTATTATTGCGATGTCGGGGGGGTTTTTTTGTTGCTTTTTTTTTTTTTGGGGTGCGTGTTTAGAGATCGAAACGAGGAGAAACTTCAAGGAACAAATAAGACATTTTAAACAAAAGGCCAGAATTCAGAGAAAAGCTGTTTGAAGTCCATGCTACTAAATAAAACAAGGAATAGCTACAGCTCGAGATAATATTCCAGTTGAAGTAGTTGTCACATAAGAAAAAATTGGGTTCTCATATAACAACAAAGCTCTTAAACTAGATATATGATAGTGGTAACATTCCAGAAGATTGGATTAAGTCTATCTTTATAGTTTTGCTTCCAGTGCCACACAAGGTGAGTTGCATAGAACAATAAGTGCTGGGAGCACTGATGGAAAGAATGCGAAAAAGTTTAAGGCCAGAGATATCTCAAACATAATTTGGCTTTGTTCCTGACAAAGGCACCTGGAATGCTATGTTTACCATAACATTGTTAATGGAAAGGTGTATTTAAGCCCAGAAAGATTTATGCTTATGCTGTTGATCAATAAAAGGCTTTTGGGAACGTAAGACTCGACGAAGTATTTATACTCGTAATTATGAGAGAGCTAGATATAGATGGAAAGGATTTAAAAATTTCAAGGAATCTTTACTGAAACCCAAACACTACTGTAAGAACTGGCAGAGAGTACAGCTACAGCAATTATAAACATATTATTAAAAGAGGGGTTAGACAATGCAGTGTTAGGCCCGCAGAACTCTTTCACATAGCGAAACAGTTGTTTCAGAGCACCCAAGCACACAAACAAATGAGTGCCTAACTATGATCGTCTGTGACACTCCATGATAAATTATGATGACGATGCTTTTTGTTAGGGTTTTTTGGGACAGAGGAGGTACATCCAGGACTTGTGGCAAGTGGGATGGAGGAGAAGAAAAAAAAAAGATCAGTGGAATGGGGTGGGAAGGAGATGAAGAAAGGAAGGGATAAAGAGAGAGGGGGGAGAGGGAGAGAGAAGGCAAAGAATGTCAAACAAAAAGTAACGCATTCAGAGGATATTTGTTTCACCTTTCTCGTTAATATTTGGCATAATTTTTACTCACTAGACGTTTGGCACCGTTGACAAACAAACGTGGTACAGGTAATAATAATAATTTTAATTATATGTTGATATATATATTATATATATATATATATATATATATATATATAACATAATATATATCATGTATGTATGTATGTATATTATAACAAATTAGTTAAGTTGTCATGGAGAGCGGCAAGCCAAAAGTCGATAATGTTGCGAGTAAAACTCGACTTATAACACCTGGTGCAGGCACGTTGAAACAAGAGAAACGGTTCAACTCCGCATTATCAATGAATAGAAATGTTTGGCTGCTAGCCAATATTCTGGCTGGACTTCGAGGATATGTTTGCAGGTTCAAATCCCAATAAGATACGGCATTCCTCGTTCTTCCTAGATCAATCCTCGACTCGCCTTCGAAATGGCCCAAACTTTGCTTAGCATGGTGTTAGTTGTTTTACTCTCTAGCCTGCTCCGTAATCCTTCCAAAGGCCCGAGAGGGCCTCGGTTCCATAAGGTACAAAAGCTCGCTTGTCAACCCAAAAGTCCGGAGTTCGATCCCCGCTACTGTACATTTGTTTGTGAGTGTGTGTGTGTGGGGGGGGGGGGGGGCATTTATTTTGTTTTGCGTTGATTTGGTTTAGTTTTTTCCTCATGTGTCTACACGTCGGTCTACACCTTCTGATCCAAGGGTATGCCTACAAATTTTGGAGATCTCGGTGTAAAACTTTCGCCCGTTAGATATCCCATGGTGCCTCTAAAATCGGAAATTAAATCCAACTAACAAACTGAAGCCACCCTAGAGTAGGGCCCACTTTCGAAACCGACACGTACTTGCGTGTCTGGCAAGGAATGATTCAACATTCTAATACTATTTAAAGAAAAGTACGTAAAATCACCTGTACTATGAGATGAAGATCTAACAGTCAATTGTTCCCTGATCTGTAGCAGATGTAGGAGAGGCAATGAGCAGGCAAGATCTCATCATAAGCTACTCCAAACTCAACTGCTCTTCCTTTTTATTCTATAGCTTCCATTTCAAAATTACTTTGTGAGATCAGAAAACAAGGACACGGAGACGATGTTTTGTTGATAGTGCCCAATGCTAACATTTTGGATTTCACTTAGCTCTGTGTATTTTTTTTCTACAGCAGTTTCCTGTTTTTCCTATCTCTTACACTTTGTTTTGAGAACATGTGTAACGAATGTATTTCTGTTTTGAACGTTTAACTTTCAAACGTGACGCTCTTCTTAATGGCCAATACGTTTTAAGCACTCTGTAGTAAGGACAACGGGATAACATTTCCACTTCTTTCATTGTACGTACCATATCATTGCAAAACGTTTAAGTCCCTGTCGCAACTACTTAGGTCGTTCAACTGGCGCACTGCTCCGACTAATCTGGAACGGCCAACCTTGGCTTTGCGGGTGACAACATCCCATACATTCACAGAAATACTTTATTTGATTTTTTTTTTAAACTCCTCTTCGTGGGGATCGAACACATGTCTTCTGCGTGTCCCGGTGAACGACCTAACCATCACCCACAGACACTAAATCCCTAAACATTCTGAAATTAAATCTTGATAAAGTCCTCAATACGAACACAGTGGTCGCGTATTCAGTATGAACAACATTTGACAAAATTAACTCAACCTGTTCTGGGTAGCAGCGAGACGGTAGACTAAACATAAAGATTAGCTGGAACAGCATCTGGGAGAACTGAGAAGGAAAAATAATTAACGAACCGGCCGGAACGCGCGCAAAACGGACAGTGCTAGGCCAGGTAATCCTGAACAGTTTAAGCGCTAACAAGCTGTTCCTGCTGCTGCTGCTGCTGCTGCTGCTGCTGCTGCTGCTGCTGCTGCTGCTGCTGCTGCTTCTTCTTCTTCTTCTTCTTCTTCTTCTTCTTCTTCTTCTTCTTCTTCTTCTTCTTCTTCTTCTTCTTCTTCTTCTTCTTCTTCTTCTTCTTCTTCTTCTTCTTCTTCTTCTTCTTCTTCTTCTTCTTCCACACGAGATGGTTCTTAGTGACTGTTAACTTCAATTCTCAACACAACCTGTACATTCCATCTTGCACACCAAACCTCACAATAACCCCTTGTCAGTGAGCTGAATTTTTTTTATAATGTTCTCCTTGCACTGCACCAGTGAGTACTTGAAATCGTCAAGCCAAGTTTTCACATTTCATAAAACAAATTACAAAGAAATGCTATGCAATCAGCTGCTGTTATGTTTGTAAGTCTCTAAGCCATCATTTTGCTATATTATTATCCCCTCTTTCTTGTTGAATTGTATGTGTTCCTGTTAGCCTTTTTTAAAGCTATCTAATTTATTTTCTTTCGGACTTTTAATATTAATTAGTGAAGTGCATGTACACACTACGTAATTGACTGAGGCGTTATTTGAAATAACTGCAAATCGTTGTTTATCTGCAGCACAGACGAGTAATTGAGTAATGATCAAAACAAGCTGGCGAGCCTTTGTGCGTACAAAAACAGTTTGATATGCTCTCGGAGAGTTTCTGTCTGCTGTAATAACGAAAATATCAAGCTCGGGTTATTGGAGCGAGAGCGCTAAATAGTCTAAACGAAAGAACCTTTGGTAACTGCTGAGATCTTATAATCATACCGTGCACAGTATCCCTCACACTTGTTCCGGCATAGGAACCAACAGGAAATTGAGTGAACCTGGCAGTTATTTCTGGCACTTTTTAAATAAACAGAGCCCCTGCTTACGCATCTAGGGGCAGCCATTCCCTATGAAATAAAAATACACTGTAATATAGATCGTCGAAAGCGGAAATAAAGACAACATCCGCACAGTAATGTTTGAAATGTTATCTACAGGTTTATGCCTTTCGTGCGGTAGGTCCTAACATTTATAGACTGTTTATATTGTGTTTCTTTCTCCCAACTTTCAGCTCTGACGGTAAAGTACATAACAAGACGATTCATCATGGAGTACGATCCTGATTTAGGTGAGGAAATTAATAAATTGTGATCGCTCCCCTATATATTCTCAAAGTCTACGTATTTCGTTTCACGTATGTGAAGTATTGAAAAAAGTGGGTACAGGGGTGTATTTAACAGTTATCTGTGCTTCAAAGTGCATCTAGCCAGGGTTTTTTTTATCCAGTAGATTTAAAAAACGGATGGTATATCGATTGATATATTGAAGGACTTTTCGCTTTGTTTAGAGAGAGAGAGAGAGAGAGAGAGAGAGAGAGAGAGAGAGAGAGAGAGAAAGAGAGACAGACAGACAGACAGACAGACAGACAGACAGACAGACAGACAGACAGACAGACAGACAGACAGACAGACAGACAGACAGACAGACAGACAGACAAACAGACAGACAGAAAGACAGACAGACAGACAGACAGACAGACAGATTGTGTCAGTGTGTGAGTGTGTGTGTGTGTGTGTGTGTGTGTGTGTGTGTGTGTGTGTGTGTGTGTGTGTGTGTGTGTATGTGTGTGTGTGTGTGTGTGTCTATTGAATAACGTTGATTATTTTCAATCTGTAATATAAAGAGGTGGAATAATATTAAGAAGCTAGCCTGGAATAGGGAAATGTGGAAAGTGTTTATTTGTAGCTCATACCCTGATGCTGGGTGAGAAAGACAATGATGATAATGATGATGATGATGATGATGATGATGATGATGATGATGATGATGATGATGATGTAAAACCTGTCACTGACATCTTTTAACAGAGGGAACCTACACCAAACACGAGGACTGGGACAACCAAGACTTGATTGTGCACGTCATGGATACATGTGATAAGGTGAGGTCAACATGGTCCGGTGTCTACGTTAATGTATTTCCATGTTGTCGTCTTTTCTGATTAAAAAAAATATATATAAATAGTGTAATTATTGATGATTGTATGGTATAGCCATGTTAAATCGATATTGTTGTTGTTTTCTTAATTAATGATGGTATAAAATTGTTGTTGTTGTAGAAATGTTTAAGATTTTGGAGAAAGCGGTTATTCATTAGGTCTTTTTAATCACTAAACCTTTTTAAAGGAACAGACAAAGTTACAGGTTCCCCGACGGTAACCTCGTGCCACCAACACCTTTACTGCTATACTTAAAACATAATTTTTCCCTTCCTAATCAAATTTCTCCTTCAAGTAGTTACATTGACGGCTATATCGCCCTACACAATGGTAGTCTCCAAGTAACTGAAAACTGCCTTGTTGACCTCAATGCCCAACGCAGCAACCCTTAGAGAAAAAATACTAACTGTAAAGCAGACATCTTTTTAAAAAATGCAAGCTGTAGCAATTGTGTTGAATTCCCCTCAGCCCCCCCCCCCCCCCCCCACACAAAAATTGAAGATTTTCCTTTTTCTTTGTAATTATATAAAGGATCCGGAACTGTGGCGGTTGTGTGGTCACTAACTCCTGCCCCCCCCCCCCCCCCCCCCCCCCCCAAAAAAAAAGGAAAATCTTTGTGGATATTAAATTTGCTCTTCTAACTATAATATGCATCAGATCTATACATAATTTAGTTGTGACATTAATAATGCTAACTTTTTTTTTGCCTTTTCCGGCCTCGTTTACGGTACGGTGTCGAGTGGAGAAATAAACTTCTTTCTCTTGTTTGTCGTATCCCCTCGTACGTGGTTTTTATTGTCTTCTTATCCTGTTTCTCTAATCCCTCTATCCATCTTTTCCTAGGCTTGACTCTTCCTCAGATCTCTGGTTGTATGCTCTCGCTGCTATATTGTCGGCGGTAGTCTTGACAGGTGTCCAAATGATTTTATGGGTTGATTTAATTATCTGTGACCTCCAAGCAGGGAGTCGAGCCAACTACCCTTGTTCTCTGACTATCTCGTTTCTGACCCTGTCTCCTCTTGTGATGAAAAGAGATTTTCTTACGCTTCTCGTTTCGCAAGAGTTTATTTTACTTTCTAGACTTTTGTTTAAATTGTCCACGTTTGGGTTAGGTAATTCAACGTTGGCATGACGATGCTTTTAATCAGTTGGCGCCGTGTCTCCATTGTGGTATTGGGGAGGGAAACTAACAGTGCCTGCTGGCCAGTCTCAGCTCTAATCGTTTTATTCTGCTTTCTATTTCTCTGTCCATCTTTTCGTCGTTGGTGGATAAGCTTCCCAGACATTTTAACTCTTCTACTTGCTTCTTTTGCTGCTGTCGTCTGTGATGTTTAGTGGGTCTTGTACCTGGCAGATTTTCATCGCCTCAGTTTTGTACCGTGCTGATCCTTTGCTTAATAAACTTTTGATCAGTTTGTTTACGTGATCTTGAAGGGTCTTCTCATTGTTGCTAAGTATGCTCTGATCGACATAAAAAAGAAGGTCTTTCGTAGTTTTATCTTCTTGTTTAGCTTCCAAGAAGAAGAAGAAGAAGAAGAAGAAGGAAAAGAAGAAGAAGAAGAAGAAGAAGAAGAAGAAGAAGAAGAAGAAGAAGAAGAAGAAGGAGAAGAAACAAAAACAATGTTAATCATGATAATAATGATAATAATAATAATAATAATAATAATAATAATAATAATAATAATAATAATAATAATAATAATAATAATAAGACGAAAAATTATAATAATAATAATGATGATGATGATGATAATAATAACAAAAGAAATAATAATAATAATGATAATGATAATAATAATAATAATAATAATAATAATAATAATAATAATAATAATATTTTTTTTTAAAATAAATAAATAAATAAATAAATAAATAAGAAAAATAAAAAAAAAATTTAAAAAAAAAAAAAAAAAAATAATAATAATAATAATAATAATAATATGATAAACCGTGTGTGGGTGCTTAGCAGTTGCTCTGGTGTGGATTGCTCCTTTTTTACCTTTCAAACATCTGTCGTCCTTATCTCTCCTCTTTTTTGTGTTGTTACTCCATTTAAACACTTCTAATCAAGCGATGCAAAACTCTTACTAAAACTAATCTAAGCAATAAACCATGTGAAAGAGTGACTAGATGTATTTACCTCAGAGACAATGTTCTTTATGAAATCTTTTTTTTAATTGTTACGGTTTGAATAGTCCTTTAAAATGTTAATACCCGAAGACGCCACGTGTGATTCGTTTGGTACGTGTTGCTAGAGTTAGATCGAGATGCCATTACATTATGCGTTTCACCGACGAATGCAAAGCTTCCCGGGAGAGCTGTTGATGCGACTGTAAATGTTTAGATTGCGCGAGGCATTTGTGCGCAGGCTCCAATTTGAAAGTTGTTAACTTGACGCAATGACGTCATCTTTTCAGACGCTCACCATTTGTTCAGGGGTTACCTCCCGTAAAACAACTTACAGCAGAACTTGCATAGATTTTTTAATCCTTTATTTTCAGCTTAACATTCATAATCCTGAAGCGGGTGGTTGGCGGATGCTCTGGTTTAATTTGCTTCTTTCGTTTCAAACATCTGTCGCGTTATCTCTCGTCCTTCTTTGTATAGGTTTGTTACTCTCGTATATAACCTAATTTGTTGCAAGTCCCGTAAAACACTTATTGAAACATAAAACAATAACCCTGACATTATAGAACAGGGTCCATCGCATGAAAATAAAAGCCTATACTCATTTTAAAAATCTAGTACAAAGCTTGAAACTTGAGAACTTATTTTTGAGGATCTGTGGATCTTTTAAAAATTGTATAATGCGTTACAGAGCATCTTGTTTATGGAAGTGTGTGATGTAATAGCTAGGCTCTTTGCCGTTGCAGGCAAAAGATGTGCATGACTCCAATGCACGCGTAAGGAAGTCTATTTTAAAGAATAGCTCCCACTCCCAGTCGTTTTGCCAGGACCCTCTATGTCGCTGGTGGCCCTGACAAGCGGAGCCAACTCTGCCCACCTCCTAAATTTGATAAAATAATATATTGAAGGGGGAAACAAATCATTTTACAAGTTTACTGGTGACCAATAATTCCGACGTTTTGGTGGTATTGATTAGATTCGGCAACGTGAATTGAGCTGTCTAATGAAGACTCAATGATTGGTATTCGATTCGTTTATTTATTGTCAACGTGCGTCTTTGCATTCAATTAAATTTTCTTTAGACTGGAGATATTGTAACTAATGTTATCATGGAGGATTTTTTAAATAAGGAATTTGTTTGTTACATTTAAACCTTTAAGGGTCGTTTTGTCTTAGGCCAGTGTTGAAACCCGACCTTTTGTACTTACATTCCTAGACAAGAAATGAAACCTAAAAGTATTACAATGAAAAAGGTTTATATATCGAGCCTTTTTAAGCTATGCAATATTGCTAATGGGGAATACGACTCATCAATCGGACGGCATACTGCAGGTTATGCCTGTACATCTGCTTGAGATACAAAGTGGGAACAACAGCTGTACGTGCTTGAAGATCAGGGCTTGGTGTGTCTAACTGGTAGTGAGGAAAGCTAGGTTTTCAAAAGTTGTGATAATCTTTACGTCCTGGATTTCTGTGGACCAACAATAATATTGACTTAAAGTTTGAGGTAGCGCGTAGCTGTTTAATGTCACAGTGTTACATCGGAACATACTGTTTTGTAAAGAGGTACACAGTTTTACAAGGTTCAATGGTACCCACGTCCTGCTTGTAGCAAATATACGGAAGCTCACGGAAGTTTTATCCTATTTTTTTCGTTAGTTATTTTTAAAAAATTACATTTATCTAGTTAGTTATTCATTTATTGATGTATTCATTTTTTCATTTGTTTATTTATTTAGATTGAGTAATTTCACTTCGCCTATTTAAGACATTTTTTTTTCACGTTTTCCGGCCAACGTCTGAGAATGTTTCTATCCCCATCCATATGTCTTAATGGTAACAAAGCTGACACTGTTCGGTGGTCAGGCCTTATTGAAAACTTTCCGACTTGGTATGTACAAGACGACACCTATCGGATTTCAACAAGGTGAATTCTAAGGGTTATGATCTGTGCAACAAACAAACCGTTTAAAATGTAGATTGACGTGTAGGTTGGTATTTATTCAATGCTTAAGATTGCCCTACATCACATAAAACATACACATTTTACAGAAGGGACTTCCATGAAAAAGTATCAATTTTAAATGACATACATATCAATATAACTTTAAAATTGCGTTGGGTTTTTTAATTAGGTTTCTTTAATTATTCGGTTGTACTTATACCTTTCCTCACGGACATGTCCAGGAAGAAACATGATAGAAACAGTTGCGTGAAGTCAACAGATATATGGGTGGAAAAAGCACCAGGCCTCAACAATGAGCGGGTAGAGAGTCAAGACAGCACTTCGATACATGAATCTGTACTTGTAACACAGGAGAAACTCAATGTCAACCCCACAGAGAGCTGGTATAAGAAGCAGCTCCTGGTTCAATTCCCAAGTTTCCAATTAAACCTAAACATTTAATTTTTAGATATATTTTTTGTCGTACAATCGGTAGTTTTAATTAAGACAGCCTCCAAATACCTCTGCGTAAAGCTTTTTTTTAATGAAAAGGGCATGACTTCTGAAATATTGGATATAGGCAGGCTAGTAAATTGAGGGTGGTCAGATAAATGTGAATATACCCAGTTGTAAAACTATAACAACGTCTGATATAGGTTCCGGGTTAGGACACCGTTCAGAACAGTAGAAATACTGGACAAGTAAGAACTTCTAACTAACATTTTAAGCTGACTGGCTTCGCAATTTTGCGGCCAGTATTTTTCCAGTCCAAGAGTTTTTGTGGGCATTGCTGGGAACACGTATGCAAGTTTTTCTTATATCCCTACGATTTCAGTGATCAGAGGACAGAGTGAGACCGTTTCGAGGAATT